ACAAAAAAGCCCGGATCGGCTCCAACAAATCCAAGCAGAGGTGATATCCCCCGGAAACTTTCCGCAACCCTTCGGTTTCCTCCCTGAAATTTGCTCCAAACCCCAATCTGCCGCAAAGACCCCCAGAAAAATCTCCTGGTGGGCGACCGCCGGGGCGCATGTCCACCTGGCCCTCCTGTCCCGGGCTGGTCAGGTACTTCCAGAGCCTCTGCTGGTTCACCGTTTCCACCGGGTGCTCAGCGCCTGGGCTGTCCGGCCAAAAAGAAGAAGAGAGAGGGACCGAAATGCCAGTGCTGGATTTGCTTGAAACCCTGGCTGGGTGTCTGGCTGGTATAGCTGTGGGCTGAATTGTGCTTGATTTGGGGCTGGGTTTAGGCCTGTTTTCGGGCGGATTGAAGAGAAGGCTGGGACAGATTTAGGGCAGTTGTTCTGTTTGCGTTTTCTTTTTTTGCTTTTTTTTTGTAGGGGGTGTAGTGTGGTGGTGCGATTCGTCTCATTGGGGCTTGGTTTAGTCTTGCAGACAATCAAAAGCTTATCAGACCAAAAAAATGGAAGGACCCTGTCAACAGCCTGGATTCGCAATTGGCCAGCTGTTCAGCACCATTGGCCCCACATATGACTTAACGACGTAAGCACGAGGCAAATTCTTGTGTAAATTCAGCACGGCCAGGGGCTTCACGGATGCCGTGGCCACGTTCAGAACAAGTGTCAGGCGTCGCTCTAACGCTTACTTACCCAGTGCCCAGAAAGGGAAGAATTGTCTTTGCAGCGAAAATCGAGCTGTCTCATCCCATGCCCTCCATCCGAGGGGACCATCAAACATCGCCGCAATGCTGCATATTAGCCAGGCCGCTGCTCAGCGCGCCGCCATTAGCCAAGGTGTCATAGGCCTCTCCCAGAGCAGTGACCAAGGCGGCGGCCGCACCCCCGTCGCCGTACCTCAGCGACCGAGCGCGACCGAGCCGGCCCAGGTGGCCGGCTATGTTCGGGCAGGCGGGGGCGGTGGATGGGCTCTCTGGGTGTGGTGAACCACAAAAAGGACGCCGTGAAAGCTCCGAAATGGAAGGACCCAAGGATACCCTCAAAAAAAGAAATCCATCGCCACAATCCGATGGGTCAAGGAAGACTCCCCCACTGCTAGGCTGTCAAGATCATGCCCACAAAGACCTCATTCAAGGGAGAACATTCTCCTTCCTTGGAGATGAATCAAAACATGGGGCCCGCTTTCCCTCACTTGAAAACAGCCAACCAAAATGGCAAAAAGACTCACCCAGAATGTGTGCGTGTGTGGGTGGGTGATGGTGGGTGGGTGTGCGTGCGTGCGTGCGTGCGTGTCGCGACAGCGGACTCAGAAAATTGCAACCGTTCCTTTTTGGGCCGTCTTCTCTCTCTTCAAAACTCCGTCTCAAAGGGGCCTTTCAGATTTTGGGAGGCCCCAAAGCATTTCCCAAAGTATACGAGCCTATTCTGTGAATAGCGCAACGAAAAATGGAAATATATCTACCACCTAGTCTCTCCAGACCATCCTGTTCTGCTTGGTCCTGAGTCCTAAGGAAAGCAACCACAGAAGCTCCACCGAACTTCGGAATCCGCAATCCCCATCCTCGGGCGTTTGTTTGACTTCTCCAAAATGTGAAAAGTTGCCACCGAAATGGTGGCTTCCTTTTGGAAGGGGCTTGGTGCTTGAGGCTGAAAAGCCGCTGCGTGTGCTGTTTTCCGGGAGGCTTGTGGGTGACGCTGCAGTAGAGGAAGGAGGTGATGGTGCCCTCACTCTCCAGGTTCACGAGGCACCTCAAAGCCGAAAGCCCGAAACGACCGATTTTCCGGTTGGCGTCCCTTAAACCAACGTGAAAAGGGGTCTCAAAAAAGACCAACCCAAACCTCTCCCCCCCCCCTCCTAGGAGCACAAAGAAAGATCGGTTTGTAAACAAAAGCCGGTGGCACGTTCCAAGTCCTAAAAAAAACAACCTTCCACGCGGCCTCGCAGGCTGATTGCCTCGAAGGTCTTGCACCAAAGGAAACCACCAGCCGAGCCGAACATGGGGCACAAGCCTTCCCAAAGCATTGATGTGTGCCATAGTCACACATCAATCTGTGTGCATTTGGCGTGGTTCCCTCACTCAATAAACCCTTGTGATGGTCCGCTCTCCTTTCTGTGACTGCCCGTAAGTGCAACCGTCATTGGTATGTCGACTAGCAAGCAGTGGTAAACACAAAACCATGACTTGCTGTTGATCCCAGGCCAAAACTAGATGGCCAAAACTAGATGTCTTTTTTGTCCACCTCCTCCTCCTCCTCCTCCTCTTCTTCTGGCCTTCCCCAAGAACCAAATGGTTTACCACCATCGAGGCTTGTGATTTTTGTTGATGGTTGGCGTGTCAAGTCTGAGCGCTCATGATTTGAATCCAAAATGGTTCCTTTCCAAACCAAAGGGCCAAAGAACACAAAAACAGAGCATTGTTTCCCCAAAAAAACAAAAAGCAACAACGAAACACAAACATACAAAAAAGTGTCTGGTTTTATGGGTACCCTTGTTGAGTTGGGTGTAAAAGGACCGAAAGGAAAACCACGATTTAGGGATCCCTTAAAAAGACACACCCACAAAGCTTCAGCAGTGCATTCGTGTATGGACGGCCAGCACCCCAAAGCTCCTGATCCAAATCCCATATGGCTATGGGTCAAAACCCAACTCGAGTGACATCCCAATCCCCACTAAAAAATAGGTTCAAAAACGGGTGGTGAATTCACCTACCCAAAAAATGGGATCCCATTGCTGTTGACCCACACGGAACTGCCCACTGCCCGCGACATGCGCTCGAGATCGGCACAGGTTCAGCGCCGAGGCGGACTTCCACCAGCCCCAGCCGGACTCGTTCAGCACACCTCGGGCGGGGTGTGGTGGTGGTGGTGGTGGTGGTGGGGTGGTGGGGTGGTGGGGTGGGGGTGGGTGGTGGTGGTGGGTGTGGGGGTTGTGGTGGTTGGGTGGTGGTGGGCTGGTGGGGTGGTGGGGTGGTGCGGTGGGGTGGTGGGGTGGTGGGGTGGTGGAGTCGTGGGGTGGTGGGGTGGTGGGGTGGTTGGGGTGGTGGGGTGGTTGGGGTGGGGTGGTTGGGGTGGTGGGGTGGTGGGGTGGTGGGGTGGGTGGTGGGTGGTGGGGTAGTGGGGGTGGTGGTGGGGGGGTGGGGTTGTGGTGGGGTGGTGGGGTTAAACAAGGAACTCCTGAGCTATTCCTGAGCCCTTTCCCCATCTTGGCTATGCCTTTTGCAGGTCTTCGGGCGCTTGCTGGGCGTTTTGCTTATGGCCGCATCTAAACCTGACCGTGATGCCATGGGCAAGTTTCGCGTGGGAAGTTTTCAAGTGCCGGCGGCCTTGACCTGAATCCTTCGCAAAGCACCATTGGCCAATCTCCCTGCCGTTCAGGTGCCCGTATGGTGCAAAGCCCCACTGGGCTACATGGCTGGCTCCAGTATCAATATTGGAAGTCAGACTCCACCAAGAAGTGTTGGAGTTCCAACAGCATGGTGGCTCTTCCACGGCACCACCTGGTAGTTTCCCCCTGTCAAGGTTGCAACCCCCTTCCCCCCGTAATCAGCAAACCCAAAGGGCTATAGACCTCGTCCGCGTCCACTTTGCCAGTAGTCCTGCGCTGCGAGGCCTGTGTACTCGCTAGTTCTCAAAAGGAAACCGGGGTAAACCCACCAATCCGTTTGTACAAGAACCTGATTGTAGTTGTAAAGAGTCCATATGGCAGTGGGTCAAAACCCTGTACCTGTGGTGGTGAACATCAAAATAGATGGCAAACGGATCATCCACCCCAAAATGCAGCCATAGGTTATGACCCATGGCCATATACAAGCAACTTAAATTGGGTTCATATCAACAAACAACTGGCGATCATGTCGCCCGGCTCCTGGCAGCGCGGTTTGCCACAAAAACCAATCAACGCTGAGCTGCACCCTGTTCCCTGCACATGCATGCGAGTAAGCCAGCGGACACATTTTCCCGTAAGATCAAGCTCCAATGATCTGCTTCACACAGAAACCTGATGGGTAAGTGAAGGGGATGTCTAAACCCAAATTGGGGGGAATTTCCCCACTGTACCCAGCATCCCAATGCTGCGTGGGAGTTGACTGCAGGCAATGATTGATGATGAGAGGGCTGCTCAGGCCAACGAACAGCAAGAATCATGTTTACGGTTGTCTCGAGAGGAAACCAGAAGTCTCCCCCTCTCTCTCACTCTCCTTCCCTAAGCCTGCATCAGGGAAGGCAACTTACCTACCCTCCCCCAAACAATCGTGGAAGCTGACAGGAGGCTCGCGGAACACTAGGTGTTTGTTTGTTGTTGGGGGGCGAGGGGCGAACCCAAGTTTTCAGGCCTGGACAGCACTGGGATCTCGAAGCTCGGGGCATCTTCCAGGATCACCGTGCGGGGCCAGCACTGCCAAATCGCTGCTGAGACCTCGAAGCTCGCTGCAACCATCGGTTGGAGCTGTGGGGTTTGGGAATGCGGGTCTTTTTGTCGGCCACTCCCCAAAATGGCGGTTGTCCTTGTGGTGTTCGTTAAAACCACAAAAAGCGGCACCCCTCAAACAAGAACACACCCATGGTTTACGTAATGTCCTTCAACTATTTCGGAGGGGGTTCCTCGCATTTATGTCCAATCATGGTCACAGGAGGGCGACTCCTATTTACAAATACTTGCCATCTTGCGAATCGCACAGTAGATGAATGCTGAGTGACCATTCTCCTTAATTAGATATGTCTCTTTTTGGAGGCGCCCAATTGCACATCGCCAAAAGAAAGAACTTACAATGGGTCCAGCTTCATGTTGGTCCCCATTCCAGATCAGCCCCAGTTATCCTGGGTGTTGCCTCTCGCCCAGATCCGCCCCAGTTTTTGTCCACAGTGTTTTCTGCCCCTTTCTCAAGAAGGCATTTCAGAAGCCAAAATTACGAACACCAATTCTGTTGAGCTTCCTTTCGGAAGAGCAACATATGGCGCAGAGAGGTCCGGCACCCCATGCCAACAGCAAAACACGGGAGAAAACGCCAACAAAGGAGGGGAGGGCATAGTTGAGCCCATTTCAGGTGGTGGGTAGTGCACAAGTCCATAAGATGACGTATCCATGTCTTCCATGTGATTAAGGTGGCACCGAAGATAGAACACTTAGCAATCATCCCAACTTCCCTCTAAAGCCAGGGAAACGTGAGAAATCGCCCATGAGTTTGATGAAGCCAACCAGGGGACAAAGCTGTGCTCAGACTCCCCGCTAAAGAAGACTAACTTATGGGTTAAATATATATCTTATACATATATATATATGTATATTTGAGCAACTTTTCTGAGCAGGTTGTTTCGGGCAGGCCCCCGTGGTAGTCATGTTCTCCACTTGCCGATCACTTCCCGCGAAACATCAAAACTATGGCCGACTTCACTTGGGTTACTCCTCCCGGCCGGGTTGGCCAGGGTTTTGCCAGCAAACCTTTTGGCAAAACTGTGGCACTTCATTTGGGTTACGTCTCCCAGAGCCAAGTTCGCCTGGGTTTTGCTGCCACTTTACCGGCGTCGGGCTCGAGTCCTGCCCTGTCCACCCCCGCCAGGCTGCCAGGCAAGGCTTCCAGGCGTCATCATCAGCTAGCGCTACATCCAAACCAACCCACGCCCATACCCCTGAAACTGGCCGAGTCGGCCCACCTTTTGTCCTTATTTTGGCCCGCCCCTTTCATGAGACTCTTGGCAGTCCGCTATTTCGAGACTGCGGCAAGGAGAGGCTGTTCTGTGGTTTCGTGGCAAGAGCATCACTTGGGGGATGAAAACACCGCTTGAGAAAGGTTATTTTTGAAACTGGACAGAAGTTGCTATTGACAACAGGGCTTGGGGAATATGTCCATTGGGACAAATACTTGAGCCTGCGAAGAATTACCCGTTGAACGCAGTGCTTAGAGAAGAGGAGTTCCTTTTGAAAGCACTTCTTGGGACAATGATTTTCCACTAAAACGCCTTCAAAGAACCGAAAAGGCGGATCCTTCAGGGAAGTAACAGCTCAGGTGCTTCATAGGGGTCGCGAGTCTGCGCACCGTGCTTGGGCCTGCCCTTATCACGCAAACACTTGGCAAGCTGCGTTGCAGCTTTGGCCTGTTTTCAGGGATGCATAAAGGACGCCTGTGCCGTGGTTCGTTGTTTCGTCACAGGTCACCCTCCAGTATATATATATATGTATATATATATAACCCCACCACTAAACCAACTAAAAAGCACGGAAAATTGCCAAGCGAATCCAAACACGCCGTTGCCCACTGTGGTACCCTCAAAACCCACACCTGACAGAACCGAGCGGCGGCGCTCCCCAGGAGCGGCATAGACTCGAAGAGGCCCAGCTCGCCGAGCATGGACCACACCGACGCCACCTGCCAACAGACTGGGGCGTCGTGGCCGGGTGGTTTGCCATCTTGCCCGGTTCTTGCCCCTAAGTCTTTGAAGGCTTTGGCCATCAGCCGGGAGTCTTGGGATCCGCCAGCTCGAAGCTCAAGGGGAAGTGACCGGGTCTTTTGATTTGAACACAGCCGGTCGTCAAGATAGGAAATGACCCTTTCGAAGTGGCCCGACCCAGTCTGACTAGCTTCCTTTGATTGAGGAAAACCCTTGGAATCGCACTCACGGAATTGGCAACCTACCAGTGATCTCGACTTGCACATCATTAGGATGTCCTTTCCCATGCTCTCTTGCGGTCCAACCCCCACGTTGCTGAAGAAAGGGAATCCCAAAGAAACCGCCCTCTTTTTCTTTTGGGAAGGGGCGGGTGCAAGCCACCATTCTTTTTGGGGGGGTCCAACCAATAAGCAAATGTAACCGACATTCGACCACCACCCCTCCCAGCGGCACCGTGGTGGAGAGTCCGTTCCGCCCGTTCAGCAGCTGCAGGTCCGTTCCATCCTGATCTCCCAGCCGGAGCCCAAGAATTGAACGCCCTCCAGCGGAAAACCATCTACAATGGGAAAAGAAGAAACAGCCACAAGGGGAAATCAATGGGTAAAAGAAAGGCAAAAACAACCGGCAAAAAAGAACCATAAGGGGTGGCAACCCATTGATGCCAATTTCCTACAAGACCTCGATGGAAACATGTTGTTTGGGAACAAGTGTTTCAGGAAATAGGTCGAGATCTCCTTGACTTCCGAAATTTCACAGGTTGACTCATTCCATACGTTGAGATGTTCCGGTGTCAAAATGAGACTAGCTCCGTTAGATCTCTTTTTTCCGATTTGTTAAAGGGCGTTCGCACCTATATGGGTGCTTCCCAAAAGGCTAGACCCGTATTAATTTTATGGTTTTAGAGACAGATCCATAAGTGGGTCTTCTATGAGAGAAAACGTCAATACTGGTGTGGCTTTTGAAGGGTGATTTCCAAACAGCAACCAGCGAGGCCCTTGGCAAATGTCCACAGAACCAGACGGCGAATCCTGAGTCTTGCATGTACATCACTGTTGACATGGGGGAATCCATACA